TTTAAAGATGAACGAGGCAAAGGCAACGAGGTTTGCAGGATGCAATGATTTCATATAATTTTGTGACCTCTTATTGAACTTAATAAGGTCACGAATAAATTAAAAGGTCCGCGTTCCAGGTAGCTGCATGTATAAAGAAGAAGACTTGTCGAGCACCGGATAAATAGATTTATTGTCCTGAGCTTTCGAACTCTTGCAGGAGTCCATCTTCAGAGGTGAGAAGTAGCAACAAAACAAGGGTAATTATAGTGGCCATAGGCCAATCAACTGTCAGAAATAATCAAGTTGTCAGGGCGTTAGAAACAGCTATCAACAGGGATGGGGGAGGGAGGCAATTAGCTATCAGTGGAGTCGGGGGGCAATTATAGTGGCGTATGCTAATTAGCTGTCCGTGGGTCATTGCCTATTAGTAAGATAAAAAAAGCTATTCAATTAAGTATCGGCGCAGGAGGTTGAAACTTGATAGGTAAATAGAGCATGAGCTGTTTCGGCTTTCTGGGTCGATACTTAATTGAAGAGTTTGTTTTATCTTATTAATAGGCAATGACCGTATGCAGTTGAATAAGAGGTAACAAAATCGTATCAAGTCATTAAACCTTGCAAACCGCTTTGCATTCGCCTTGTTCAAATTTCTTCCCAGAAAAGATGCTTCAACTTTTAAAGATGGACAATGCTAATTCTCGAGAGCCCGACAAAACTACTTCAACAAACAGTATTGGTAGTGTCGGAAGCAATGAGTACTCTCGACATTTCTCACCAAATACACTGTCAGGTATTTTTTTATGAGCAAGACCCTGGTCAACATCGAAGATACTAACTTCGTGAAGAGTAAAAGAAAAGTAATAGCAACATATCCGTTACTCCGAAAATAGGTATCATGTGCAGTCACGACTAAGGTGCTCAGAGGAGGCTAGAATAAGCACCACATGTAGTCCAGTCTTCACACGCGATGCGATTCATGACTGTTCCGGTGGCGGCGGTGACATGCACATGAAACTGCTTACAGCGAAGCAGACCTACACGACATCCGACACACCCTGTTGCCAAACCCATTGCCTTCTACTGACAAGACAAACCTAAGAGGACCGGAAATGGGTGAGCGCAGTGGCTAACAAAAACAAAAAACCAATCCATGCACGCCGGACACGAGCTGGTGCAAACCAGGTGAAACAGGTTTCAAAGAGGTTGAAGTTCTTGGGTCTTATGGTTGTCAGAATTGTCATAAGATTGGCGACAAGAGGCCATCGCAGTAGAACCTGCGTCTCAAAGGGAGTTGGGATATCCTGCTTGGTTCCAACCCCAAAAGCACGATTTATCACTAGATGCTCTGTCTGAGCCTGATGGACAACTGCTAATGAGATTGAATATAAGGACTTGAGTGACGTTAACATCCGCATACGACAGTCCGACCGTCGTATACATCACAAGATGGCGTAGAGACTGGGAGTTCCGCATAGGGATAGACTTGCGCCGCGTTTACCACACTCTCTCCTCCTCCGCGACCTGGGCTCGGTGTCATAACCAAGTCTAGAAGACCAGGGACGGAAGGCTGTGCAGGTGGCTGACGCGGCCGTAGTCACCCCTGGCTCAAAACCCACTGGGTGGGAGTACCACAGGGGCCACTTTAACGAGTCATTGAAGCCTGAGTCTCAGTCCATCAGTCGGCCACTCCGCACATTCAGACCCAGGGCTGGCTGACTGGCAGGTTTAAGTTGGCCCATCAGTTGGTAACCTTTCAAGCCACAGCTTTTAGCGCATCGTGGTGGGTTCAAACGCGCTAGATTATTCCTGGCGAGGAAAATGCTCTGAGTCGTCGACCTCACCTCCCACTGTCAGTCTCCAGCCCACTGCCCGAGCAGGTCAGTTGTCTGGTGCGCGGAATGGGCACTGTTGCCGATATACCTAATGGCATTGTCTGCGCATGCCACATACACGATCTGGCGTTCGCATAATGTGTAGTCAATGCATCTACTGCAATAGTCCAGGACTCGCGTGGGTTCTACGTAGCCCAACTGATGAATGCTATGAGACAACACTTTTTTTAAAAACCTTCCAATATTCATCGGAATAAAATATGACGAAATACAGAAACTGAAAAATTGCAAGTTCGGAATTTCAACTACCATCAATTTCCGTAAGACCCTCGAGCCGCGGATTAAGGGAACCCCAAAAAGACTTGTTTTAAAACACACTCAGGCAGGGTCTTGCTTAACCTTTAAACAGCTTGGTTTCCTGCCCACCTGGTTCTATGTGGGATGATTGTCTCGGGGTAGTCCAGCTGGGTGTTTCGGAGGCCCAGGAAGGCGAAAAGGCTGGTCAGCAGGGAATGCATCTTGGCGTGTTCAGGCAGGGGCGTGCTAGCATTTTTGTCACCCTCCTCTTTATCGAGTTTCTTCGCGCCACCGATCGGAAGGGGTCGATCAAAGGGCGGCGAAGTTCGGGCCACACAAGACTCCAGAATGGCTGAGATGAGCGTGTAACCATGGGTGGAGTAGGTGTAGTCTTCACCGGGAAGGTGATAAAGCGCGTCATCACGAAACATCTCCAAGGCTTCTTGCGCCGAATCGTAGGGCTTTGTGTTGAAAAGCTCTGCTTTTT